AAAGATAGATAATGTAGGTCTAGACATAGGGTTGTCATCTGTTATTATTGGTTTGGCATATCATTTGACTTTTAGATTACATAGTTAAAAGCAAAGTTAGACTTGCTTTAATATTCTGTTTTTATTCCCCCTCATTTATGCCTGTGTATTTTCTATATCCTTTTTTGTCAGTTCTTGAAGATTTATATTAAATATGTAAATAATGTTTTCAAAAAGGAGGCTTTTCCATTTTCCATTTTACCTGCTGACAGCCTGGTAGTCCAGTGTCAAACCCATGATCTACACAGACACAACAGCAACATTTTAATGGTTTGTACAAGAAACTGAACCGGCTTGTCACTGTACCTCAGATCTCAGGAGTTGTAAACCATGACTATTAATGATAAATATTAGAAATTTACATAATATTCTTCTATAAAATACATGGCATGTGCCATTGATTAACACTATTAATGTTGTTTGACCATAATACTGAAAAGTTTCTTTTGGATAAATGCACAACACTTTTGAGTTCCTACAGATCGTGTTACACTTGTTACATACAGAACACATGTATTGTGCTGCCTAGTAGGTGGCGTTTATTTGCCTTGGGCACATTACATTGTACATTTTGTTGTAATCCATCATTTAAAGATTTTTGATGTTATTGTCCTTCATCTTAGTAAGATTTCAGACATGTTTTTGCCCATTCCAGGTACTTTGCTGCCCTCTTCAGGATATAACAATTATGTCACCATGCAAGATGTCAGCAGGTCTCTCTAGCATCATCCCATGATCACGTTAAGTTTTATGACTATGTTACTACCATGTCACATTTTGTATTGATGTAACTATGAATTATTTGAATACCTAAACTGAGACAGTTTCAGTAGTTTGATACAAATATATTTTTATTACAACAAAAAGAACATGTCAGGGGGATGACCAGAATTTGTTACTGTGCACAGGGAATAAACAAAGCTGTATATACAGAGGCTCAGTTCCCAAAATGAACACATAAATGCTTTGGAATTAACTCTCGTTTTCAACAAGGTGTGTGTGGTTAATCATAATAATCATAATCAAATCCATTATTTTTTCAACAATCCCATTACTAGGAAACAGTGTCTTACCAGGAACTTCAAGGAGTTTCATTGTACCTAAAGCCGTCCCTGCAAAAAGTACAGTATAAACATTTAAGCACATTACATAATGAAAGAAGACCAAACCTCTAGTTTGTCTACCGATATTAGACATTAGTTCAACTTCTGCCGAAATGCCAGCGCTGATTAAGAAATGAGCTGACTGTTAATATTATTATCCTCATTAATACTGGCCAATACATCAACCACAAGTATTTCTAGTCATTGTAACCGCCAACCGCAATTATTCCCAGTCCACCAAAAATTTCAGGGAGTCAAATCATGCGTATACACATTTGACCTTTTAAAATGTAAGAATGTTGGGTACAATCCCAAAAGCATTGAAGCAGCCAAGTATATAAAATACAAAGAAAACAAAAACAGCACCTGAAAACATTCACAGCAAAAATATCAAGGCTCTTCCCCCTGAATTTATAAAATATTTCTTGATTGGACTTCCATACAGTGATGTTAAGAAATATGTATGTCAAGAGAATGTACCATGTGTCACTTAAGATCCCTCTGTACAAAACAGTGTCAAATGTAAAATGACAGTGGAAGGAGAATGGAATGGTATATCTGAACATCTCCCCTGGCTTTGCACATGTTTTCCAAAATACTTTAGAGAACCGCAAACAGATTTGTTATCTGCAATGAACAAATTAACATTCAAACCCATGTCTCAGTAATGGACACTTGTTGGTGGACAAGATGAGGTTTCTTATTTATACAATGTCTGCAAATAATAAATATGTTCAGTTGTCTCAGTCACTGTCTGAAGATTCACTGGAGCTGGAAGAAGAAGATGAGGATTTGTGTTTCCTCTTTTTTTCTTTCTTCTTGTGATTCTTCCCCTGTTCCCTTTTGTTCTTTTTGCTTTTCTTCTTGTGGCTTTTCAGTTTCTTTTTCTTCCTCCTCTTCTCTTCGTCAGACGAGGAGCAGGACCTGCTGCGTTTCTTTTTCTTCTTCCCGGTCTTCTCATCACTCGATGACGATGCAGACCTATGGAGTAAAGCAGCAAAAACACATCACTGAAAGGACACAAACCTGTAAGATGTAAGCAAACCAATATCTGATTTCAAAAAAAGTAGAGAACTGCACAGAAATTCATGTATTCATGCAGTAAAAGAATCACTGACTTATCAGTACATGTCCGATAGATACAGTATGTTTACATACATTGTATATTTATTTATGTATATGTTTATCTTTTTGTTTCTGTTGTCAGAAGAATAGTATTAAAAAAAACCAAAAAAAAAAAACATGATCTTCAGGGACAGTGTGGAAAAAAGAACAGAAAAATTCCAAGGTAAGAAAATAAAAGTTACCTCTTTCTTGACATTCTGTCTCTGCTCTTCTTCTGTTTGTGTCTCTTTTTTCTGTCATCGTCGTCATCATGGGAACCTGCGCAGGATTGTAGACAGAACAATCAAGACACTTTTTACTGGAAAAGTAGCTGCTCGTAATTTGAAAACAGCAAGTAACACAATGAGACAATATTGGGTTCCCAAGACGAGATTTTAAGACTTTAAGAAATCTTTAACGCTGAATTATATGAAGATTTGAGCATTAAACAGTTAATTTCCTGCATTTCCTGGGTGATTTTTGCACCCATTTCTGCATCAATTATTGGTGAAAATGTTTTTATTTACATAAAGGGAAACTTTCAAAAAAATTAAAAATATACAAAACAGAATAATGCAGTAAGGCTCTCAGGCATTCTGTAATGCTTACAGATATATTTGATATATATAGATTAATTTTTGTCATGCAATATCGTCCCTGCTGAGCCAACACATGCGGCTTTCTTCCCTCCTCTTTTGTTTGGGAAAATAACCTTTAAGTGTGCATGTGGCACCTTTTCACCTCAATGGTAAATTCATTCATTTTAATTCAGTTATAAACAGCTTGCAGTCCCAAACAGAGCAAGTTTGTGCTTCAGTTTTTATGATGTTTAAGCAAAACTACCAGTTATGTTTCCACTCGGTCACACACTGGTTGCGACTCTCAGCGTGAGATGTGGGTTCACTTGATTACTACCACAGTGTACGCCGATGTTGCATCAGCTGGGTGGAGATGATTCGTGAAGTGAGACTACATCCATACTACTACGTTTTTGTCTTAGTTTTAGTCCTCGTTATCAGTTATATATTTGTTTTTCACTGTGTGGGAATACTGATGTGTGGCATGACAGCCTGTGAAAGGTGTCAACAGCATGTGTCTCTTGA